GGCCTGTCTTGATCGCCTGCATTTGGCCGGCGATTGAGTCTAAGGGAGAGGGTTAGTAAAAGCGAAACTTGGAGTTTAGTGGGTAGTAGCTGAGGTGGACTTACCTTCGTCTGGCTCGCTGATGTCGTCCTCCTCTTCCACGGCGGCTGCCTTGGCAGGGTCATCAATGTGCAGAGTGATTTGAGCTGTGTTGTCAAGACCCAAGTAGCTGTCACAGATCATGTGAAGTATGAAGGTGAAATCGCCGACCTGCGGGGGAGCCTGGAACTGCATCTTGAGAGTCTGAACGTTGAAGGTAGGCTTGCCGGCCTCGTCGAAGATCGGCTTGTCGAATGTCGTGAACGTAAACGGCGGAACGGCCATCTTGCCCTGCTTACCGTCTGCTAGGAAGATGTTCCAGCGAGGGGAGTGATCGCGCGCGAAATACGGTGCGTGGGCCAGGGGCGGCTGGATAGTTTCAATCTTCGCCTCAACCTTCTTGCCGTCCACCATCTTGGTGGCGCGGTTCTTGGCCGGCTTGCGACCCATCAGGGCTTCCAAGTCGTCCTCGTCGGGGTCGATGTCCTCCAGGTCGAGCGGGTTCACTGGCGGCACGGATGTGCTGCCTGGCGGGATAAAGCGGGCTTTGACTACCAGCTGTACCAGACTGCTGGGTGTGATCACCTTTTCTCCCATAACCTTGAAGAAGATTCGCTCGGGTTGGAGCATGGGAAGTTGCTTGGCAACTGAGACGGCGTCGGTGTATTGCTTATCAGAGAGAAGACCAGCACCGACCGTAAGGCTGCGTCGTTGAGCCTCTGGCAGTTCCATGTATCTTTGAACGGTGAGGTGCTCCTTGGAGTCTTCGCCCTCTACGGACTTGACAATGGCATCGGTGAAGTTGGGAAGTTGTAGTAGTGGCGATGAGCCCGGGGACACAGCTTGAATAAGGTTCTGAGAGGTTTTGAAAGCGCCGACGATCGGTCCAAGGTTACCAAATGCGAGTGAAATAGCAGTGAAAGCTTCAGTGAGAGCAAGGGCAACAGGAGCCGCTTCATATTTTTCTGCGGAGACTCAGTTAGTGTTATGTTTCAGAAGGGCATCGGGACGTTTTTCTTACCAGCATCCAAAGAGGCGTCACCAAGATCAATTCGGCCAAGATAAGCCCATAACAAAGCCAAAGCCTTCCGACGAGAGGAGCTATCCAACTGCTTCAACGCCTCACGGTCCTTGGCCGTAAGGAACGAGTTATCATCTGCCAGCACCTGCTTCTCGAGCTTGGCCAGACCAGATTCAGCCCGCACACCCTTGAGCATATCATTGAATTCCTCGCCGGAGGACAAAGCACTAATAATTCCACCTTCGGTGATATCGTCCTTGTACTCACGGAAAATGTTTCCGGCGCTAGCAACAAGAACCCGCTCTTTTGTGTAGCGCTGAGATCCATACCACCACTTGCCGACGATATAAGGAAGAAGGACGCCCAAAAGGGCACCATAGACCATCAAAACGTATTTGCCATTGCCCTCCATGACAATGAACTTGGGAAGGGCGATACCGATGCTAAAGCTCTGCTTGCCATCGGGGTGACCAAATTGGAGGTAGTTGTTTCGCACCTCCTCGTCAGTGAGAGCTTTATAGGCCTTTGTGAGCTCCACGAAGCGCTCGTTGAGCATCTCCATAGTCTCATTCTTAGCGGGGTCAGGGCGAATTTTATCGGGGTGGTAGATCAAAGACATGCGCTTGTAATGTCTGGAGATAGCCTTCTCATCTGCGCTCTATTTTCCGAGAAATTTAGTTAATTCAAATCCTCTGTGCATTGAGCGAGCATGCGCCAAGCTGGATAACTTACTCTCGAGACACCCAAAATATCATAAGGGTCGTATGCCTTCACCACTGTCCTGGCGGTGACGACAATTAAGTAGACCATCCATGCCATTACGGCATATCCGACGATGACCGTGATAATGCGCTTGATTCGGCGCTCTTTGCGCAGGCGCTTGCGCTTCTGCGCGTCGATGAGGTCCGCATGTTTAGGTTTAAAATCGGATTTGATGCGGGGAGCGGTATTCTCAAGCTCTGAAGATCACATAAAGTGGTTAGGTTCTGGGAGATACATCTGGTATAGTCTTGCCAAAGCTCACCTTTGCTAGGTCGTAGGAGATTATAGGTGAGAGGGAGAGTGACCAGGCCGGTCAAGGTGAGGATGAAGAAGGGGAAGAATTGACCCTGAAAGCCAAAGTTAGCGTTACTGTGACTCTATCAGATCAAGTCCCATCCTTACCTGCTCATCATAGGTGTAGTCTGACGACATCCTGCGGCGGGTTCAGGACAGACAGCGGTGGCCGCTGGCCGCGGAATTTGAAGATCGTGTTGCACAAGGCTGTTGACAGTAGCCACTTTGGACGGTCAGGAGAACGCGTTTGGATTGTAGAAATGAAACAAGAGCCTACTGAGAGCCCAAAAGCCTGGCTCACAAGAAACAAAGGAGTGATGTAGGGGAAGTCAATATCGCACTTCCTGATCTGGTGATGACCGTGTCCTCAAGCAGGATCCACTCACCGCCTGCCTTAATTGGTACTGAATACGTGGCAGTTTCTTTGAACGTTGTAGGCGGTGAAAGGAGACGGAGCTGAGGCCCACAGGCATCCGATGCCTGCTACATACTACATCTGTCATATACTGTGCAACATTGTTTCATCATATGATTCGGGATAGCGTTTTACGAGGTGTGGTTTTTTTTTTTTTTTTCAAGGTCAAATATGTTCATAATTTTTGGTATGAATGAGCTCAAGGCTACATATATATACTGATTAAATACACTCTAAAAGAGCTACAGTCATGATCGAATATCCAATCGAACCCGCATGCTGCAGCCTTAACCATTTCCTATAAGTTTAGGAGTATTGACAGAACAGATCCATCGCACACAATTCTCCCCTCATAACAAAGATAACCAAGACCTTCCCAGTCTACCCAGAAAAGGAGTTCAAGCGTCAACAACTCAAGGTCGGACGCAAACTCAACCAATCCAGGCAAGCAGAGCAAGTATCAGCTAGAAAATGCATGACTCATTTTCTCGTGTGTGCGATAAAATCAGTGGACCAGAATCTACACGGCCGGGTCAAGAGGGACCAATCCAATACCTCGTGCGAGGCATCTTCATTGCTGCAAGTCGGGGACCCGGGATAATCCGTATGATCTGGTGTTCTTGCCACTTCAGTGTGGTGTGGGCGCATTTGCAACGGGTGACAGAAGACGCAAGGCGTCACGTTGTCGGTTTGTTTTCGATGGCATTTTTGTTGTAATTTATTTTGTCGAATGCGGATTCATGAACGTCGCAAATTCGTAAAATCGTTTTGTTTTGTCTTTTTTATTGACTGAGAAAAAAATAGTTGGCGAAACAGTCCGTCTGGTTAAGTGTCCAGGCGGAAACTTCAGACATTCAATCTCCAAGGGCATGGCCATTCGTTCTGAAAGAGATGTCAGGACTGGTATTTCGAGGCATATCAGGAACGAGACTGATACTCACGAGTTGATGTAGTCGAGTCCACCGAAGTACTCAAGCATCCGGTAACAAAGGCTCACATCGTCGCCCGGCTCTCCGCCGAACAGACGATACTGCGCTTCTTCCAGTCCACCTGATTCCAGCCGCGAGGGGCGCTCACGGGTCTGCCAGGCTGTATACCCATAGTGCCATGATGGGGCGAGGGTGGCTGCCGGAGATCCACGTGAAATGCATGCGTCAGGAGAGTTGTCGGCAGACACAAGTGCACAAAAGCTGTTCTGAGGTGTCCGAATAGTTGATTTGATGTCCACTGGGAAGGTCGGATGTTGAGCGAGAACAGTGTGTATAGTGTTGCGATTGCTTGAACGACGAGTGCGGCGTCTGTTGTGCCTCTGGCCCATTCTCGGAAGTAGAGAGATTCAAAATGGGGAAAGAACTTTTAATATAGAGGGGAGCGACCATCACCTCCTGGAAAGGATGAGATGAGGTAGTGAGAGAAAAAAATCGGAACGTAATCTGCAGCAGGGGTGACTCTTTATAGAGTAAATAGCCAAGTGAGTCACTTAAAGGAGAAAAATGGCGAGATCCACTTTCTCGGTGGGACCATCCCGAGAGACGATCACCTTTGATCACCTTATGGCTTTAAAAAATGGCGCCAGGTCCTACAAGGTCCTACACTAGTTCCAATTGGTTTGAAAGGCGTGCTATTTTTTTGGTTTAACAGGTTTACCATCGCGTCATTCGAGGACCCCCAGAGTGAGTAATTATTAAACTTTTAGCATGCTATTTCTTAAATGAGGTGATTCGCCTTAGGAATGAGCCTCAATAGATGAGCCATAAGGTCACGAAATTGGCAAAAAAATACGGAGTAAAAAAAATTGAAACAAGAAAATTGAAACGTCAAATGACGACTCCATAGACTCCATACTGCCGTGTCATGAGATGATTGGAAAAAATTAACTAGAGCCGATGCCGGATTTCCTTAATAGTGCCGTGCGGACCGAAGGGCGATCAGGTCAGGCAACAAAGAGCTTTCCGACTTTACCCTAAACTATCCTAAATCACCCTAAATCACCCTAAAAAGGCACCCTAAATATCCAAGTCATGCAGGGTCCCGGAGCCTTCGTCAGTCTCCGGTCTGTCCACGGGTTTAGGCAATTTCTTGGGTAGCAAGGGATGTCTGAAATTTTTACACCTTGCATCGAACAAACGCACGTGTGCAACGTGTCCAACGTGGGGGGGATTTTCAGATGCCTTCAAGCCACAAAGCAATAAAGAACTGAGTCATTTAAATTTTCTTTTTTTTTTCCCTTCGGAAATCGGGAAGCTGAAAGAAATGCTCCCAAGGTTGACTATTGACTCAGATTTAATAATTAATGGAGTGCCTGATCTGTGAGGACACTAAATATAGCCCTGAATATTCAAAGACTGAAACTTGCCAGGTTCCTTGACACTCCTTTGACACCCCTGAGACAAACAATGCAAACAATACAATCACTACAATCACATATTACTAAACAAATGCAAACATCTTGATTTCCAGACTCTCCCTTGCAGCAGAGTCACTATATTCTGGGTCAACAAATGCACTGTGCGGTACTGTGACGCCTCCCTCGTCCACTTTGAAGCTATCGAACTGTGTGAAAATGAGAGGTTCATGGGGTTGTTGACCGCTGAGATAATACCATCTCTGGCTCGGACTAAACGCATATCGCCCGAGTTCATTCCACCCATTTGGCAGTGTTAAACGACTGGCAATACCTTCGTCTCGGATATTAACCGAGCTCCAGTCACAAACTGTGAGAGGATCTCTCTGGATAGTTTTCAACGGCCGCCAGACATTGATAATCAGGACTCGGCCAGCCAGGAGACGCTCGCGCTCCTGCTTGTCCGGAACTAGCGTCTTTAGGTGGTGGAGTGCACCCCTAGTCGTAAAATCCGAGTGCACGCTGTGCGCCGGGGCCCGGTTGCTAGCGAGCAAGGACCCATCTTCTGCGAGGCAGCGCACCCGATGTACAAATGTGAGTGTCTTGGTAGCACCAGTTCTGCAACATCGTTCAGCTTCGCGAATCACGAGACAGACAATGTTTATTCTGGGATCAGTACTGACATTTTGCGAACTAAATCTGCGGTCTTTCGGATGATCGTATCCTTAACATGCTCTTCGTCCGAGACCCTATCAAGCTCGGGTATTTCATGCGACAGATATACGAATCCGTTCTTGTCAAGTGTGTAGGAGGATTCCTGTCCCCGGATATCCTGCACCTGCACTTTATGCGTCTCGGCCAGTACCTCCATTTTCTTGATATTATTCTCCGGTTTACCCTTGGCCAAGTCGACTTGGACACAGTTATCGATATACGGGCGTCTCCAAAAGCAGAGGTCAGTGTCGACGTGCCTGGCTGTGTATTTGGTGTGATCTTCCATATTGAATATCGATACCGGAAGGATCAATATGTTTGTTCGAAACTAGCACTACTCAGGGTTTACAGTGGGGAGATGCAGGCTTATAAGTACCTGCATTGTGGCGAGGGCCAACCATCAAGATATTCCCGCAAGATCCGATTAATGTGCATAAACTGGGGATATGGTTACAAGTACTGTGTATAGAACCCCTATTGAGAGGGGGCTGTATCCTCGCTTCCAAGTTTATCAGCGCTCAATTGCGGCATGGATACGAGTACGAACCAGGCGTAGAGATCGTCAGCTTGTGATTCTTTGAAATACAGAAATCTGGGATTTTGCTCATCTTGTCTGTATAAAACTAGTTTTCGTGGTAATATAGTTCAAATTTCGTGGATCGCTAGTCTATCCAGGGCTGACGTATAATAACTTCGATGTAGTCACCAACACACAACCTTGAAGGGGCCCATATAGAACATGGTAAAGTCAGACCAAGCCAAAATTTGGCCAGTAGTTTTAGAATATTATATATATCTATTAGCTCTAACCAAGGACCCCTAAATAACAAAGGAAAGAAAACGGAAATAGCATATTAAGTCGCGCAACTCTGGCGAATAAAATTAATTGAAGTAGGTCAACTCACCTCATCGCTCGGCCTTGGCCACCATCAGGACTCATCACAGATACAGCGCGAGATTCCGTGCAGCCAAGAAGTCATGATATTGTTTTTCACCTTAGAATATGGGTTGGTAGAGTGACAAGAGTCAAAGTTGGGGCAGATCTACAGTGAATATATAATGAGAAAGGACTTGTTTGACACAAATATCCGACAGACTAAATATGCCAGCCCTGGAAGCAGGCGACATCACATTTTTCACTATTTATTGAGTTTCTACTTCGTTGCTAATCAATTGTAGGTGTCACGATCCGGTACGCTAGGGGCCTTCTGAGTGTCCATCAAGAGCGATGGGGTTACTTGCATTTGCAAGTGATTCCAACCAGTAAGTTTCTGAGAGTTTGTCTTACTACTCAGTAGGCTATTGATCCTCAATTGCTAATCACTTTAGTAGAAATATTTTGGCCTGGAGCTCCAATCTGTGATAAATCTCCCGTCATCCTACCGACACCTGAGATTCTCAATGGTAGACTGTCGGAGGCTCTTGAGGCCGAGGTGCCGGAAGTTGTATCGAATTACTCTTCATTAAAAGACAATACAAATGCAAATTTAATTGCCACCTACCACACACTCTTGGCTTTTTGCTAGAGGGTGGCCGTGAAGCGATCGCTCGGGGAGACCTGATTAAATATCCATTGCTGCCTGCAGATTATGGGTAACAACCATTTGCCGATATATATGTACGATATGAGGTTCTCGAACTCGAACTGACGAGGAAAAAGCGCAACAGCTGAAATAAAAGGAACCAGTCTCTCTTCGGTAAAGGTCAACAAGAAACCGGCAATATCCAGTATCGGAAGCAACGTGCCACAGCTATCATTGACCAGGTCTTCCACCCAGTCAAAGGTGGAGTCAAATACAAGAGCAATGCATTAAATGATGTATAACGGCGTTAAAAATGATGAAAGACCGGCAGAGGCAATGAGGAAAGAGAAGGCAAGATTGAAGAACCAAGCCGTAGACAAAGATTCCGAAAAGTGAGAAGGAGAAAAAGGTAAACGGTAAGGAAGAAAAACCAGGAGAAGAGTAAGAGACAACAAATGGCAAAAAAAAAGAAACAGACAAACACAACCCGCGTGTGTACTGTACAGGGTCCCAGAATACGGACCATGCCTGGCCACCAAAAGCCATCATTCCGGACCAAGACGCTCATGAATAGGATCCAACTACCAGACCAATCATTCCCCTAGGGAGGAAGGGACAGCTCCTAGCGCTGTCTGCTTGCGCATCCCTGAAAACACAGACCGTAGCTCCAAAGACATGCATGACAAGTAGGAAGGAATCGGAAATTTCGACTAGCTACCGTGTAGCTTGGACGTAGCTCCAGTCCTTTACTTCTTGCGGTTGGCTCGGCGGGCAGCGAGATCGCCCTCAGCGAGCCATCTGCTGGCGTTCACTAGCTGGACGATATTGACGAACTGCTTGAAGGCCATGATGGGGAACGAGATGCCGGTGATGATCCATGGCCAGGTGCTCTCGAGCTTGTTCGCCCGCGCCATCTCGAGTGCACCGGCGCTCCAGGGACTAGCGAAGAGGCTGGCTGGTTCGGGGTGGGCGGGGTTTCCAGGCTGAGCGGAGGACAGCTGGGAATCGGAGACGGGCTGCAGGAGCGAAGGGGACAGTGTCGGCGAGGAGAAAGACAGGAGGTACAGGCCAATGAAGAAGGCTTCGTTGGCAGTGCAGCAAATGAACAGAACGACCTAATAAAATATTGCGGATAAGCTTCGGGGGGACGCAAAATCAGTTTGCTGCAGGGGTGTCTTACCTTGCTGGTGTAGTACTGATACATGATCCAGCTACGGCTAGGATCGACCTTCTTATGGCTCTGGCTGGATCCGCCCATGCTTAGAGTAGCGTACATATGCATGTAATGACTGGCCATGTCCAGGCTGATGAGACCCTGGAAGATGATGGCCCACCGGGGCCAGGCGGAGCTCAGGAAGACTAGGAGACACGCGGTGGTGCAGCGGTCGGTAACCATGTCCAGCACTGCACCGAAGGTGGTGGATTGGTTGAAGTATCGTGCTGCATAACCGTCCAGACCGTCCAGCAGACAGGACACCGTGTAGAGGAAGGAGCAGGTCCGCGGATGGAGGGGCATATAGTATAGGGAGGCGAAGGTCAAAAAGACTCGGGAATATCCTGGGAACGCGTTAAAACCATATGGTAACTCGAAGCTTAGAGCCACACCAGCGGGGCATCCTACCGATAAGATTCGGGGTGAAAAGGAAGATGTTTTCCTTGCTGTCCTTGCTCTCTCCCCGTGCAGCGGATCTGGCTCTCTTCTTGGAAGAGGCGCGCTTTGAAGGTGTCGACACAGAGCCATTGCTAGGTGAATCTTCGCTCTCCTCGGCGGCGAGGGAAGCCTTTTGTCGTCGTGTTCTTGCGTTCATTGTGATGTGGAAGGGATATTACTGGTGAACTGTTTCTCGTATAGGTCGGGGAGACGTATGGATACCGGACAGTTGGTCTAGGTGGTGTCAGCTTCGGGTAATGCAGACGTAGGCACGGAGTAGAGAGAGCGAGAACACACTGTGTCAGCGAGATAAGAATAAAGCGAGTTCACTCAGGATAAGGATAGGAGGCGTTTAAGGAACAAGGAGAAATTTCAACGATAAGGGAAGATAAGCGTGCTTTGCACACACTTGAAACTTCTAAGGTTAGGCGTAAAATTAAAAGGAAAATCCCAAAAGAAAAGAAGGGATGAAAAGAAGAAAGATGAAAAGAAAGGAGATTGTGGAATGTCCTACGGGTTACTCGGAACCTTGGGACTGAGCTTTCCCCACGCGGTCCACCTGGAGATGATCGTGATATTTTGAAACATGTAACAGGTGTCAAAATTAAACGAATCTGTTTGTGATACGGAGTACGGAGTACCTATAAAATATATAGCCCTAGGCAGAATTGCAATTATATCTTTAAGTGTGACTTATTATAATCCTCTATAATGTGTTTTCATAGACATTGATTATATACGACTAGCCTAGAGGCATAAAAAAAATATGTACAGAACATAACCCCCAAATATAAGGAGTACAAGAAACACGTTCATTTCCGTGACCTGCGCGGATCAGTAGAATCTTGTCGACGCCACTCGCGAGACTCCTTAGTACCCATACTACCAACGCCGCCCTCAAGACGACGCTCCCACCCACCAAGACGAACAACAAGACAAGTGGCATTGTCACCTTCCTGAGTGACCTCAGTCGAAAAATTGACCACATCACGCGCCCCCTGCTCCGGCGTCTTGGATTCCTTGACGATATCAACAATCTCCTGGTCAAGCAAAGTGCCGCTGATGCCATCGGATACCAAAACCAAGAACGAAAACTCAGCCGGGCCAAGCTCTATGCGTTTGAGCTCGGGTTCGGCAGAGACTCCGATTCGCTTGGATTGAACATCGCCGAAAGCGCGCGTGTTGGCTAGCCCGCTCATGCGTTCTTCGCCGAAGGAGTCTGTTACAAAGCTTGTGGCATACCGTCGGAGTCGGGTGGCCTCGATCGGGGAGGAGGGGTGGTGATTTGATGTTATGGGAATGGCTTGGCCAGTTTCTGTTGAGCAGAGGAGTATGCGGGTATCACCGACATGGGCAACTAGGAGACTTGATGGGGCGATGGGGTGCCAGAAGGGAGTTGGCGTCGGGGTCGAGATCATCGCGACACTTCCGGTGCTACCGCCCTTGAACCGGGCGCTTCCGCCGATCTGGGGAGATCGGGTCATGCTGGGCCTGTGGAAGATTTCATCATCGTTCAGAGGTCTCTCAGCTCGGACTAGATCGTCGTCTCGCTTAGCCGCTTGAGCGTTGACAAAATCTAGATCCGCACGTAGGAATGCGTACTCCACGACTTCCTCGATGGATACGTGGTTCTCAATACTGGGGTCGATGGACTCGGTGCCATTGTAGGCGAAATGCGGCGGCTTGAATCTCTTGAAGTAGCCACCAACTACCCGCCTCCAGGTCTGCACAAGGTATTTCTCTAGGTCTCCGATTCTCCGTCTGTCGCCCTCCTGCATCACAGGTAGTTCGCTAGTGGTGGGTGGCACTTCGGCACCAGGTCGTAGGCTGGACCGAAGTTCGATATCAAATGCCGCATTCTGGATATACTCGTGCAGATAGTCCCTCAAGAACGAACTACACTCTGATCCGCCATGGCCATCGAAGACACCAAAATAGAAGACTTGTGGGTCTCCACTAGCTGTTTCTGCACCGCGCGACTCCCGGGGATGGGCCAAAGGATCATGTATATTAGATCGCCTAATCGTTAGCGAAGTTGGAGCTCGCTTCGCAAAGGCGGGGATGTCAATGACGCCGGCTTGGTATGTGTCTTCATTCGAGGGGCGGGTTCCACGGGAGGTGACGGCGCCGAAATGGTGTTTCGCATTGCGGAGTGGAATCCGGACGACTGTTGTCTCACGGTCTATTAAAGCTTGGAAGGCAGCTGGCGATTGTGGAGTATCTCCGGTATGAGGTATAGAGGCGGAGCGAGGGAGTTTATGAAATGGCGAGGACGGGCCACGGGGATCCGGATGGAGCGAAGACGACGGTAGGTGGGTGACAAAGTAATCGCGGAACTGTGGTTGCTTTCTAACTGTCGACTGAGCGGGCGGCACAGACTCGGTACTGTAGCATTGCGCTCGACGAAGGAGAGCGAAGCCTGGGTTAGGTTAGTTAGGTACTCCAAGGATCTTCACGCAGATAATTAGGTAGCTCTAGTCGCACATACTGTAACAGCCGGCCGAGGTCCAGACCCGACCTGTTACTCGCCTCGCTGAAAGGAGAGTCATTGGCCCATCGAACTATAACGAAATAGCAGGGAGGAAAAGAGGGTTAAAGGGACTGGGCGTGGGGAGAACACATATGGCCCGAGCGTCGGCAGATAAGAAGACTCGGAGCGGCACATTCTTCCCGTGGGATTAGCTCTTTAGTGCGGGTTCCACTACAGGGCTATATACATCATGTACGGAGTATGTATACTTATAATGGAGCGCATATATTTACCGATATAATTGAAGTTACGTACATAGGTTATACACAGGTTAGGATACTTCACTTGCACCATTTCTATAAAGATCATTTACAATGTGAATCCGTAGACGAAAGATTTATACTAAGTGGTGATCTGTATCCTGGAGATCCACTGAAGACTACGTGGACTACAAGTAGGGTGAAGTATTTCATATTTGACGTAACTCCATTCACAACTAAACAGAGCAACAAGATGCTAAATCACGCTGCTAAAAACGACCATATTGGTAGCAAGGCCTACTTCTGAGGGCCACAGAAGTGGACGAAAGAAGAGACAAATGGCACACGGGAGTGGCCGAACAAGAAGAACAAGAAAAAACAACGCTGAAAGAGTGGCACCTACCGGGTAGCAGAGCCGTCCATTATGTCCAAGCAAGACGTCAGGGGGATCTGCCTTCAAAGAATGTGCCTGGTTAGATTTCGAAAAAAAAATGTACTCGGGGAGGAGCATCTAGATAGCCTTAGTCCGGGAGAAGAGACTGCTGTAAACGGCGTCCACGACGGGTTGGGCGGTGATCTGCTTTCCGCCAAAGTATCGGCCATTGAGGCCCTTGATGGCATTCTCGCCACCTTGAACGCGGTCGAACTTCAGGTAGATATCTCCCTGGGAACTGACATCTAGTGAAATGTGAACAACGTGGCCGTATTTCTCCTCACACTCCGAGCGGACATCTTCCTCGAGTTCCTTGATCCAGGCTTCACCGGTCTCTCTGTAAGGGAGTTAGCTTTCATTCTCTCAAGTTCAAGGCGAGGAAACTTACTCGGCGGGGTCAAACATGTTGCGAAGCAAAACACACCGACTAGCCATGTTGACATTGATGGGAAGTGGCTTAGTCTCGGTCTTGGGTCGGAGGAACTTCTGACGGTCGTCGACAGAAGGTTGGGCATCATCTGTTCGTGCAAGCTTCCTCATCAACGCATCCCTAGAGTAGTTGTTGAAATTTACACCAGCAACATCCGTATCGTCAAGCGCACTAGCACCGGCGCCCTTTTCAGTTTCCCTGCCACCAGCACGGTCAAAGTTGTTGGAACCTCCAGCTTGAACGCCACGGCCTCCCTGGCCGGAGAATGAAGAACCCTGGAAGTTTGATTGGTTTGTAGATGAAGCACCTGAGGGGCGATTGGCGTGCGCGTCAGGGGTGAACTTATCATTGCCGAGCCCAA